TGTGGTAGACATTTAACAGAGACTGTGCAGCTACATGATCCTTTAAAATTGCGATCTTCAACCTGGTTGCCAAACGTGGAGACTGTACCCGAAGACCCTCAGTCTATAACTTTTATTTGCACCTATGACCTATCCTCCTCCTCAGTGCTGAGGGTCGTGAACACCCTTATTCATCACCTTCAGGCGAATAATTTTTCTTCATTCATACCTATCTCAGGCGGTGTGGAGGGAGCTGTGGATAGTGGAATCAAGTGTGGTACGTATCTCATTAGTAAATCGTGTCGGGCTGCGACCACGACGCTTTTTCCCATCAACTTTTCCAATCACAATGACTTACCTACGTGTACTTAATAATAACTTGTATATAATATAGGTAATTATAGTATGTACTTATAACAATAGAAGTTACCTGTTTGGATAACTATGGTTTATTTAGGTACTTGTTTGAAGCATAACAACATTATTTATATTAATTAGGTCCTAATTGGACATACATATTTTTGTATGTTACAATGTTTATACCTCCTCTTATGGTTTGTTTTACAAATCAAGCCAAAATTATTCAATTTTCTTTTATTCTAGAGCAAACTTTACGAAATCGATTTCTAATATGTAGTTTGACTGGAAATAGTTTTAATTATATTATTAGATCGATCTGTATTATTGTTACGTACCTTGCAACGTTCTCCTGATAATTTAGTTCTCATAAACAGTTTATTATTTTTCTATTAACGCCAAAACTAACAACACTTGTGGCTCTCCCAAGGCTAAATAATAACTACAACAAACCTTGACCGAGATAACAGATTATTTTATCATAAGTGTGTTAAAAAACGGATTCTTTAAAATACCTACTTACATGTAGAAATAAGAAAAATATAAGACCAGATTAAAAATATAATCCATCAAAGACAATAAAAAATAAAAGGAAAGTAACAAAACAAACGTTCCAAATCTAAAAATCATTTAAATAAAGAAGGTAACGTTAGCTTTTTTAAGAATTTACATAAATAATTGTTATCTTTTTTTATTTATGTGTTTTACATGGAGAAATGCCGGCAACTTTTGACATGAGTCATTTTCTTCTGCCGTCGGACGCGCCCATTTCAGATAAGATTAAAAAACTGATTAGGATACACACAAATTGTGACAATGCTTTGTTTAGCTATTTATTCCATGTAATGTAGTACAACATACCTAAAAATTTATCAGCATCAATTTGACTACTATTTTTACGAATGTGTACATACGATAGCATTGCTATTTTAAACAAAGAGTTCCCGGAATTAAAGATTAGCTGTCTAAAGAATAGAAATAATTTTGTTCTCATTTGTGGTTACAGGATGACTACACGAGTTTGTAAGACTGTTGAAGTGTAGATTGTAGAATATTGCATAATATAAATGTCACGCACAAAAGTTAAACTAAATCACAGACTAAAACTGAGAAATTTCGTGAAATCGGAAAAACACCTGTTATAGGTTCTCTTTCCTTGTGTCGCATAATCTTGTCTGAATGAGGCAATCCATAAAACAACAAGAAACAAGATAATTCATGGTCCAGAAATAACATGGATCCTAAATATTTACCTCTGATACGCGTGGATGCGTGGGTAGAAAAAGCCGCAGTAATTTAAAAAGGTTTTTAGACTTTTTCTATCTAAATTCGAAGCCATTAGTCAAACACGCAACGGATTTTAGGTTCGCGTGCTATTCTTTTTATTTTTTGAATTTATTTTGAAATGAATTAGGTACACTCATGAATAACGATTGCCTCGTTGATCGACTGCTCGTTATGTGTTTGAAGAGATTGTGGTTTGAGGTTGATTATTTGAATATTAGACAACTTCAGGGTTAATAGTTTTCCATTTTTGAAATTGGGTACTTTCCTTAGTCAAAAATTAATTCTTTCGACTGTTCATAACAATAAAATATTAAAAAATAATCACAATTTCATTCATTGATTTTATGACCAACTTAATTTTAGTACTTTTCCAGCCAAATTTTAAGAAATAAGTATGCTGTTTGACACTTAAAAAACGTGACGTCACAATACACAATGTCATACAAAATTTATAGAAAATTGTCGTTTTGAATTTGACTAGTTGGCAAGTACCCAATTATGTCTATAAGAGACTCTCTTTAGTTGTCTCATAAAAAACAATAAACAACATTTTTGACTATATAGTTCGTCGCAGTGGCTTAACAACCGATAGGTACGTGTCGTTGTCGACACGTTTGATTTCCGCATAAAACTTAGTTTTCTAATGTGACGTAATACAGGACAAAATCCTTGTATGAGATATTTTTTAAACAGATACTGTAAGAGACTGTCAGACTCTCACCTACTTAAAACCCAACCTCGTAACTTAGTGCTACGTCTCACATTTTTGCATGGAATCTAAACTATATTATAGCAACTACAACAATATTATTAAATGCAAATTACAAAGGCCTACCCTAATCTAATTTAAACTAATTTTACAACGAGACCAAAATCCACGATTTCAAGTTAGAAGATTAAGATAAATCATTTCATAATATCCATGTTTGATCAACAAAAGCGCGTAATGTTATCATCGAATAAATACAAGATATCTTTGGATTAGGCAAACATACTTTTTTATTATTACTCAAGGCAAATATCAGGTGCCTGGTGATCTTCATGTTCAGTAAAGAATCATCATTCTTTTAAATTATGAAAAAGTAAAAAAATTTCTGTAATACTTAAATTAATTATAACTTAATGGAAAAGCGTCGCTAAAGGTAGAAAACAAAAATGGGTGTTAAAGTACACAATGTGCCTTCTCCTTTGAGGAGTACACATCTAATAATATAATACGAGCTACTATGGTATGGCAAACAATAGGTAGACTTAGGTAAGCCTACCGGTAACGATCATGGCGATTGCTTACAAATGATCGGCAACTAAATGAGGCGGTATAGAGCTGTGTCTGGATTACTAATATCTGATTAACATCGTATCTTGATTTTTCTTGATACAATATTAATTAGACTAAAGTCTTCTAGGGTATCCGGAAGATGGCCATCTTCTACCGCATCGCATATTATTATATGGGTACGTACGTATGTAAATCAAATGAAGTGCACAGGGAGGGTGTTATTTAGACGGATAATATTGATAATTATTGTGCACCAAGATGACTAATTTAATCGAGCTTTAAGAATTTGACAACCAAACAAAGATATTGGACCCGATATGGTTGCCCAACAGCGCCAACCATGCAGTCATTATAACCACTACTCGACCAACGAGGCAGTTCAGTTTCTTTTTTATTTTACTTCTATATTTCTTTTTTTAACCTATGGAACATGTATGTTTGGGAAATATTATTAAATTTCAAGGAACGTGGAATATAATCTCGTAATTATCTTATGAAACATATAAGAGCCTAACTTTAAAGTTTAGCTACGTAAATCTAGTGAATTAAACATTAACCTACTCACGTTAATGAAGAAAGCGTGTTTATACCTCCATATTGTCTCAGTTTTGGTATCATTATAATGACTTTAAATATTATGTCATACTAAATTTTGTTCTTTTTTTGAAATTGTAATTTGAAAACTTTAAAAAAAATTCTAATTAAAAATAAAGTAAATTATTATTGGTCGATGAATATCAATTGTGATTGTTGGACAAAAAGGTTCTTGTTGGATTGTCTCATACTAGCATAATATTATAATTTAATTAAGTTTCTGATTTACAAAATTCTGAGTATTAGGTATGGTATAGGTACCAACGAAAATCTGGAATTGTACTAGGTGTAAAACTTTCGTAGGTACTGAGTGACTGACTAACAGGCAACATACAGTCGAAACTACTAGCCCTAGGAAAGTGAAATTTGGCATGTTACATACATGGGTACTAATCAAGAAAAGATTTTTTGGAAACTCCTACTGAAGCAGAGGAAACCGGGAAATTCACCTTTTAGCGCGTACAAAACTGGGTGTAAAAACTACATAATAAAAAAGTACTTGTAAGTATTTCCTTCAAAGGATCAAAATAGAGCAATGAATCATGTATTAATTATGATAAGACGTTTCATTCAGCTTCACTCTGCTTGCAAACCACAGACTATACATAGTTATAAATAATTTTCCATGGAATAATGGAGGCGAAGTGATAAGTCGTAATTTGTGGATTTTACCAAAGTGCCGCTTTAATTAATGTGTTTTAAAAAATTTAAAATTAAAATGCGTTTAAAAAGTTGTATTTCTTTGTCATTTAAGATTGTTTTTAAATATTGCCCTAAGTACATGGAACGTCATGAAAATCGTCACAGATTAGCCTTGTAAACTTGAAATACTTAGGCTATGTACTTGTTAACTTCTATTATTTTCAGCAGGATTGAAATGTCAAAATCGTTTAATTTTGTATTTGTTAGATAACAGAACGCGGCGATGTCATTGTTTATTTTCGCAGAAAACATTACTCATGAACCTTATCTAAGTAAAAACAAAAATAAAATATTATTAGGTACTAATACCTAACACTTGATTTTGAAAATACTTATTTTACATTAATTAGGTATTTTAGCGGATCAACGAACCAGACTATTTATACATAAATAGAATTTAATACAAGAATTTCTAAAAGGTTCATGGTTATATGGTCTCCTCACGTGTACAAAGTGATTAGTATAAAAAAGCTTGTAATAACGAAAATTGATTATAGTACCTACAATGTTCAACCTCGACCTACCCCTATAACAAAAAGCCATGAGATTTACCTAGGTACCATAATATTTATCACTGTGTAACAAAATAAAAAAAGTATAAATATTTGGTTAACATAGGAACACAATCGCGACCATGCCATGACAATCATTATCATTTCATATCACATGAGCTCACACCTAATCACAAGTGTTTTGATGAACTCCTCGTATTTTCTTACTATGTACAAGTGATTCAACTTTGAATACTCAGAAACAATAAATGTGACCACTTAAAAGCTACGTTTAAAATGAAATAGGTTACCTCTTGAATATAAAGCTCCTCGCCGGGTGCGCCGGAGTCGACTCCGTAGCTATCATCACAGGGACGCGAGTACAAGTAGAAGAAGTGCTCGTGCGCAACCACGCTCGAAGTCACCTTTCCATTGTACACAGGTGGATTGAAAGGGTTTATTGCACTCGAGTTTGTTTCAGTACAGCTCCCGTTGAATAATGCAGTGCCCTGTCTACAACATCTGTGTATACATATCCGTCCGATACAGGGACAGCCCAGCACCAGCGTCGTCCCATTCTCTTCGAGCTCATACCAAGTTCCCTCTTTATATTCCACCCCTTCATATATCACTGAAGAGTTGGGGTGCTTAACTCCATTCGTTATGTCCACACTCCGCACCCTGGTACACGGAGCACCCTCGATACCCCTCAACACCAAGAGTGCAGACACCACTACCAAAATTAACTTCATTTTCACTCACAAATTTCTGCACTACGTTACTACTCTTAATACAAGTGTCTACTTCATTCCTGAATTAAGGCACCAAAATAATATAATATTTCACGAGAAAATGTCATAAACGAATTAAATTCGCACTGGAAGTGTTATTATCACGGCTGAAGTGTTCTTTATCTGAGTACTAGTGAGGTAATTTGATGTATCATTTTTGTAATGATAAGAGATAAGAGACGGTCGCGGTCTCGCGGCTTGTGGCTGGAGGGGGAAGGCGTGTTGCAGTGGCGCGGTATGAGTCCCGACTGGCCGACGGGCGAGCGACCGCTGCAGGCTGGAGCCGCGTGGAGCCACGACGGCTGAGAACTCCGCCGAAACCGCACCGAGTGACGATGACGACTGGCGAGTGACGCGTCTTCAGCATTATGCTTACACCCTTTATCTAATAGCGTCGTTTGTTTACTATTATGACGCACCGTAATGAGTTCACATGCGTTTTAATGAAACTATTAGCGAGTACTTGGTAATTTATTCATATTATGTGTTATTCCGTCAAAATATAGGTAACTGCTTGATTTAATCTAATTTAGTTTTGGCGTGGTGCATGCGTTCGTACTCAAATTAGAGTGTGAATTAGTAAGGCTAGTAGAGATATACATGTTGTATTGTAGGTAACATCTCTGTAAAACCTTTCAAATACTACATGAGGCTTCAAAGAATTTTACTGTTTTTTATTGAGTCTACAACCTACTTTAGGTTCAGTAATTCCACCTCCACGGAGGACCGTGGAGGCGAATTGAAGGAATAGACGAGTCACATTAAGAAGGTTTGAGTATTATTCACTGCGTTTGCAAAGCGGATTGACGGTTTCCTCGTGATATTTGCCTTCACCGTATATAGGTCGTTTATATGTCGTGGTGGCCCGGAGGTTAAGACGCCCGCTTCTCATGCAATTGAACCCGCACGTTCGAAACCTACCAACGGCAAGTACCAATGTGACTTTTTCGGAGTTATATGTACTTTCTCAGATTATTCAGACACTACTGACAAACGGTGAAGGAAAACATCGTGAGGAAACCTGGACTTATGATTTCTAATTATAAGTTTGAAATCGCCAACCCGCAATGAGCAAGCGTGGTGATTAATGCTCAAACCTTCTCCGAGTGAGAAGAGGCTTTGCTCAGCAGTGGGCATTTAATGGCCGTTGATGATGATATAATATACGAACAACCCCACACGAACACGAAGGATTGCTGTTGAAATGTGATTCGTCTATCTAGAGCCTTAAACCTCCGGGCCAGCACCACGCTTGTATGACCAATAAGTATCTTAAAATAATAGTTTCTATTACCTTCGCTTATTTACGATTTTGATGTAACAGGGTGGCCAACGAGCAGATAGATCAATGAATGGTAAGCAATCGACGCTGTTCACGACGCCCATGGACATTCACATACAAAGTTACATGTTCGTTGCCGTAGGTAGGTACGCCTCGCTCTTGTATCACCCCATTTTTATTGCAAATTATTTTATTATGCTAGTTTTTTTTTATTAATCGTTGTCCCATACTAGGATTTTATCATGTATCGTGGGTGCGTTTACAAATATACAAATTCACATGCACATGACACTCAGACCCGGAAAAACAATTTGTGGATCACACAAAGAGTTGTTCCGTGCGGGAACCGAACCCGCGACACATAGTACGGCAGCCTGTATCTACAGTACCTACTCAGTCGTGTTGTGCTGCATACTAAACAGCTTGGGTCATCATCATTCATCAAGCAGGATAGGTACTGCTGGTAGGTAAGTTCCATTGTGAATTAAGGTTGTCATCAACATCATCAGAATAAAGACGCATTTCCACGCCCACTGCTAGACAAAGACTTATCTTACCATGACAGTACAAATATCATAAGGGCACTTCGGGCCCGTGCCCAGGACGCCGAAGGCCTAATTTTTTTTTGCCTAATTTTTATTTTAATATCCGTCTGGTAGATTTTTTTAAATCATTAGACACGAAAACTTATACATTATTACATTTCAAATCAATATAATCGTAGAAATATATTGATTTGAAATGTCGCGTGACGTCACGTCTATGTCCATTTTATATGTAGGAATGACGTTTTAGCCCCCACTCCTAAACTTTGATTTGTTTTATCTACGTATTGTTTTAATAAACGACAAAATAAAAAAAATACTTGTGCAATATTTTTTCATAACCTAACATACGGACTAATTATACCTATTCTTAATTTTCATACCCTCTCATGAACCCAATTTCTACGACGCACACACGCGCTACACGTTGCGCGGCAACCGGCTGCCCTGTAACGTGTAGCGAATTCGATTCCCGCATGGAGCAAATCTTTGTGTGACCTGATTGTTTCAGGTCTAGGTGTCATGTGTATGTGAACTTGTGTGAGCTTGTTGAATTATTGTGAGCCTAAAAGGCCCCAGCATAGTCTAAGACGGTCCTTCTTACTGAGATCCATACTCAAAGGAAAGTAAGTAATACATGCTGAAGAAATCTAAAGTCAAAGCACTTGATTTCAACTAGGCCACATACAAGCACGTTAGGTGCTCTAGTAATTTGCACCTGTGTTAGCACTTGTTTGAAGCTTGATACACTTTTCGCTTGTAATATACAGAAGAATATAATATTCGCTTGTAATATACGAAGAACGCCCTTGGAAAGAAATGTTTCTACAAAGATTAATTAAGTATAGTAATTAGAATTTTGTATGCCTGAGTCAGTATTGTATTAATTGGTATTGTTGTACAAAAATAACCTGCAAGATCAGCAGATCCTAGCGACATCTAGGATAAAATTTATGAACAAGTATGTTTATGCAGAATGTACGATTCCACACCTTACAAATTTTTAAACCCATATTTACTTACGTTTACAAGGCTAGTAAATAATTATATTATGAAGATATTATGGACAACGTTTTATTATTATTCTTGTTTGCATGTGCTCAACAAAGTATGAAAGGTTTCTTTAATAGTTTTCTATAATACCGAAAGATGTCGCTGTTCTCATAAAATTTTATAATTATTCTTATTTCACTTGAAAAATCTCAATCAAACCTATCTTTAACCAAAATTATAAAAAAGGGAATAACAAAAGTGATATTATATAATTAAACATTTGTAGTAACACAACGCAATTCATCACGTAACATACTAATTTAAGTTTCTCTGAAAAGTAAAAATATTGTCTATGGTGTGGGAGTTTCTGCAAATTGTATTGCAAAGATTAGATTATTAGAAGTTAACACGCGTTTTCACGGTTCCCCATAACATTTTTATCAAACTTATTTGTATCTAGTAAAAGTATGAATAGGTCATAGGTTAATTTAATTAATTATAGATCTACATTTTGGAATGAGCACCTAACTTCACCTAGCTTCACTGACGTACTGACCGAACTATTATTTATTTTGTATTTGTTGACGTTTAAAAAATACCAAACTATGATTTAATTGAAATAAATGCTTTGACTTTGACTTTGATGATTTTCAGATTCTTTTATAGTTTATTATGCAAAATTTTGAATGGAATGAAATTTCTTTCTTAGAATTATGAAATAAACCTCCATAATGATTAGAATTGTCCACTATAGGGCGTCCTTATAAGTTAAAATTGTCAGCCATAAAACGATGCTTTATACCTTTCAAAATTCTGAGTTTCCTGAAAGTATCCTTTTTTTGTTCTGGAAAAATCATGAAACGACTCCTCCCGCCTTGTGTGAGGCCAGAGGGAATGTCAGACTACAGATTAAAAACCACCCTGTCCCTACTCCTGATTCACGTCAGAGCCCCGGTATCCCTAAGCCGTCCTTAAGACCCACTAGATCACATCTGTAGTGCCACAGTAGCCTGGTGGCTCTTTGAAGAGCATGTAGGTAGTACCTACGCGAGACACCTAATAATACAAGCAAAGGATTAGCTTAGAATTAGATACCTACTCATGATAACTTAAAAGATACCCCCGTTCCAACTCCAGTTTCGAGCCGGAGACCTGGTAACCCGCAAATATCGTAAATTTTGTGATATAAAGTTTGATTTTTGCACAGCCCCAAGGGACAGAGGACTTGAATAATTGATATTAATATCCCTTCCATAGTTAAACTGTCAAACACCGAGCGGTCACCGGTGACCGATACCTATTGTTCTATAATTGTGTCTACAAAACCGGTACTCGACGAGTTAAATACATCCAAATAACCCGCAAATATCGTAAATTTTGTGATATAAAGTTTGATTTTTGCACAGCCCCAAGGGACAGAGGACTTGAATAATTGATATTAATATCCCTTCCATAGTTAAATACATCCAAAAAGGATATTGACACTTGACAGTCCAACAGATGCGAACTTTTTACTGTAAACCAGTTTTTAAGTACACATACTTATGGTTTATTTTATAACTAACTTCTGCCAGCCATTTCACTTGCGGTCCTGTGGAATAAGAAGTAGCCTATGTTTTATTCTAGACCATAATCTACCCCTGTTCCAATCCCTTCAGTCGTTCTGATGTGAAGGAGAAACAAACACACAGACAAATTTACACACTTTTGCGTTTATAATAATAATAAGTATTAGAAGGATGAGTAAAATTGATAATGTAAATATAAATATTAAATACATCTTGTATCCTAACACGTAATTGATCATTTGTGTGAGGGAAATACCCGATCTATATATACACCCGATCTATCTATATATACCAACCAACACGAGATAAATGGGCGTCACTAAAATCAACATAGATAAAATAATAAGTATATCCTGAAGAGTTTGTTCGTTTGAACGCACTGATCTCCGGAACTCCTGATTACTATATATTTGCGGCTCTATGATGTTTCTTGCTAATTCTTCTCCTTATGTCCATAGGAACAATAACTTTTCACTCTATTCTGGTTCTTTTCCTTCCTTGTGGCGCAGTGCATTTGTCCGGCCACTGCCTAAAATCTCGAATCCTACTCTTCCCACTCACTTCCGTCCTATTTCAATCCTCCCTTTCATATCTAAAGTGCTTGAGGCTTGTGTACACAAGCAACTCTCACATTTTATATTCCGCAACTCCTTACTTAGTCCCTTCCAGTCTGGCTTCAGGCCGGGGCACAGCACCACAACGGTCCTCCTAAAAGTGACTGGCGATGTGAGGGCAGGTCTGGAAGACAATAAAGTCACCGTACTGGTATTGGTCGACTTCTCAAATGCCTTCAACATGGTCAGTCACGACATCCTTCTAGCCATCCTATCCCATCTTATGGTATCCGATGATACTCTACATTGGTTCTCATCTTATCTTCGGGGGCGGCGACAGATGGTCCAAGTTGGTGATTCGTCATCAGAATGGTGCCATTTAGAAACTGGCGTCCCCCAAGGCGGTATACTTTCACCTCTCTTATTTTCTATCTTCATCAATCTCATTACTACTGAACTTCAATGTGCGTATCATCTGTACGCTGATGGCTTGCAGTTGTACTGTCAGGCTAGTAGGGAGAACTTACCGGAAGCTATCAAAAAGCTAAATATTGACCTGGCTTCTATTAAAGACTGGGGTGATAGGTTTGGGGTAGCTGTGAACCCGAGTAAGTGCCAGGCCATAGTAATTGCGAGCTCGCGCATCCTCAGTAAAATAGATGTTAGCACCCTTCCTCCTGTTCTGTTTGACGGTGCGGTCATCCCATGCACCAGCGACGTCAAGAATCTTGGCCTTCACATTGATTATTATCAATGTGAAGGCCTTGAGCTGGCGCCCGCAGGTTACCAGTGTCTGTAAGAGGGTTACTGGGTCGTTGCGGGCTCTGTATCGCCTCAAAAACTTTCTTCCATCCTTCGTGCAAACCATAGTAAATATCTTCGTTCTTCCAACAATCGCCATCTACAGTGTGTCAGTCATCGCACTGATTTTCTTCATTCTTCTTTCTTCATACAATCTGTTATTCTGTGGAATGCACTACCCACGGATTTAAGGACGGCGTCCAGTCGCTTAGCTTTTAAGATTAAAGTTCGGGAGCATCTTCTTCAACAATTGGTAGATTCATTTCAAACCTAAACCTCTTTTAATTTTATATTTTGTGTTATATTTTATAATGTACATAAATGACAATCTATATATATATTATATTATTTATATATTATAAATATACATATATATATATATATATATATATATATATATATATATTTACATCTCGCAATCGATTGGACGTCCCATGAAGGCAAAAGTGCATTTAATCTGGCGTCCACCTGCTTTTGGCGTCCGCATACCGGGCGCCACTTTTTTGGTCTATGCTACTTAGGTCCTTTTGGTCCTGGCTACACGTACGTTAAAAATCGACAGAGGCCAAAAGATCGGTTCAATGGCTGTTATAGTATTTTGAAAAGTTCCCAAAGAAATCTCAGCGCGGCTAGAGCGCTGCTGTAGCGCGTATATCCACAGCTGTATATTTTTGGGATTTTCTGACTATAATTCCGCCTATTTGGCGTCCTCAAAAAAAATAACAGCGACGTTGCCAGTTCGCTCATTAAATCTGTCTCAATAGATCATAATATTATCTACCGCATTCGAAACAATATTCACCGTCGTAGATTTCGAATGTGTTGCGTATGATTTGGATTCCGATTTTATTCAATTAGTTTTATTTACATTTTAATACATATCAGTGCAACTTACGACAACTTATCTGTAATCCTGTTCTCAATTTATCAATGATCAGTGAAATATAATAGATGAGGGTATAAGTTAATTCCTTAAAAGGATCTTAGAAATAAGTACTAAAGTGACAAAATTAAATGTCTTACCACAAGAGAGTTTAACTTGTATTAAATGTGTATTTAGATAGTATAGTCTCCGTATAAATTTTGACGTAATTTTATTAACTTTTAATGTGGTTAGAAGGTGCATCTAACACTGAATAATTAATGAATGTCGTATTACTGATCAAATCAATCAACGTTTGTCTTCTTTATTCTAGTCCTCGACGTGTTATAAAGATCCAATTAGGAATTATAAATGTTTTTGATTATAAAACATAAATACTTGAATAAAAGTGATATCCATATTTAACATAACATAACATCACGTCTTTTTCCCTGAAGGAGTAAGTAGAGGTGCACAATACCGCACTTAATGCCACTGTACAATGTAATATCCACATTTTTACTATTTATGTTATGAGTCCCATGTAATAGGGGGTGAGCTTATTGCCATATACCGGGCACACTTCCAGACTTTTGAAAAAACCCAGTAATACTTTGCCCAACCCGGAAATGGAACCCGAGACTCTTTGCCAGGCAGTCGCACTTGCGACTACTCGGCCAACGAGGCAGTATAATGATATCCATGTTCTTTGTTTTTATTCGCTTACTTAGGATTGGTAACCTCATATTAATAAGCTGCCAATTAAATATTTGAAACAATTACAGCTGGTTTCAAAGCTAGGGGATTGGGCAGCGCCACTGAAGCGCGGGCTTCAATAATAAAGGTAGTACCCAATAGAGGAGATAATTGCGTGGCGACAACTAGAACTATTAAATTAGGAATCTTGCCTTTAATAAAATTGAAATTCAATACAATATTTGCGCACAAAAATCAGATTAGGCGCAGTCTTCAGTTACTTAAGGTTTACATTAAAATAAAAACGGATGTCATAGATCATAATTTCTAGCGATAAAGTCCTCTACTGGGTACTACCTCTATGGCTGCGCTTGACCCTAGAGCTCTTATACATCTTCAACCGCGAGGCACTTCAGCAGCGCTACCCAATCTCTTAGCTCTGAAACTCGCCTAAATGAAAGAAGTTTTGAACTTAAGTACTTAATAAAAACATTCCAGTAATAATAGTTAAACGTTGACGTTCAATAGCTATACACGAACGCCCAATAGCTATATACGGACGCCCAATAGCTGTATACGGACGCCCAATTGCTATATACGGACGCCCAATAGCTATATTCGGACGCCCAATAGCTATATACGGACGCCCAATAGCTATACCTCTATATGGACGTTCTACAGCAATATACTGACGATCAATAGCTAGGTGATTTTCATGATTGGGCTCGCTGTCATTGCAGCGGTAAGTCCCCTCTTTGAGGAGTGGCTTGAGAGACGCTACGGCGTCCTCACCTACCGCCTGACGCAGATGCTTACCGGACACGGAAGTTTCGGGAGGTTTCGGATTGGGCGGGAGGAAAAGCCCGGGTGTCATCACTGCGAGGTTCGCCCGGAGGACACGGTGGAGCATACGGTGGAGGTGTGTCCTGAGTGGACTGAGCACCGCCGTGTCCTCAGGAATGTGATCGGCGACGGCGACCTCTCGCATCCGGCTCTGGTTCAGACCATGGTACGGAGCGAGGGGGACTGGGA